TAGTCGATTGTGCGTCATTCCAATTATAGAGGCCGACAGTGGCAGCAGCAGAAACGCAACCCTTAGATTTTTTGAAATTTTAAGAAATTTAAGAAAAAGAGAAGAGCAAAAACCAGCAAAAGAGAATGAATATTATAAATTAAAGAATAAATATTATAGTTAGATGTTAATCTTTTAGTAAAAAAACTAAAAATTACTTATTTGAAACCTTTCCAATTTGTCTAATAGGAACCAACTTATTTATTGTGTTCACCAAATCCGAGTAAAATACAACATGGAGAAGATAAATGGAGAGATTCCTCATTCTCGGTAACTTCAACCACACTCACCTACTTCAATTACTGTGGATCACTTTTGTATCGACTTAAATGCACTCTTTTTCTATCTTTTTCAAGAATAGAAGAACAAATAAGACGAAGCTTGTGAGGATGAAAGATCTTGAGCCATGTTTGAATCTCTGGTTTTACTTTCAGTGAGTTCGCAAATGGCTGGGTCTACCTATGCGCAGCAAAACTGGCTGGGGTGAGTTGCGAACGGAAAATCTACGTTTTGAAGTTTATTATCTGGTTAGAATTGAATATTGTTTAAGCTTATAATAAGCTTTCTAGCTTGTTAATATGTTTCTTCATTTCTAATTTTTTTAAATAATTTTAAATTAAACCCGGCTCCCGGGCCGGGTTTCGGGTTTACTTAAATTCTGACCGGACCCGGATACAGCCCGGGTCTGCTTTAATAGATTGACGAATGACGACGTTCGAAGGTAATTTAAGTTTCCACGATATAATCTTTATTGCCTCTGTTGTGGTTTTGGAGATTCATGTATGCCATTTTGCTATGATTCTATGTTAAGATATGTTATTGTATATATGTTTTTTCTATGCAAGCAAATAATAAATTCAAATAGGAGAGTAATATTACACTCATAAATAAATTTTATAAAGATTTTCATATAAAGTAATTTGATAAAAAACGAATAAAAGAGTGAATATAATGAGTTTCACTTTTTGTTTCACTCTTCCATTCATTTTTTGTCAACTTACTTTGTATGAAAATCTTTATAAGATTTTTTTGTAAATATAATATTATTGATTTGGGAATAATAGTATTATTGATTTGAGAAAAATGTTTGATATTAACACTATTATTATCCTTTCTTTGACCAGTTGTAAGCTTTATTCTGAAAGAAACATTGCTTTGTCATTCATTTTCTGCATTCGGAGAACTACTTGACGAGGAAATGTTTATTTATGTCTGTTTGAATAGTGATAATATATTGAATTTTCTTTGTCAAATTTAAAGTTTTGGAATTTTGATGTAGACAAAATACTTGAAAAGCTCTCGTGAGGTGCTGCAGATTCATGAACATTCAGATATCTAGCGAATTAGACGCTACAACAAGCCCAACATTTGTCACCTCTCTTCTAGCTTAACTTGCTTTGCTTCTGGTGCTGTCAGTGCTACCGGCCCTATTTATCCAAGTCCAGAATGAAAGCTCAATTTTTCCAAGTCCAGCATGAGAGCCCATGGTAAGTACGCTAAAGAATGTTGCTTCTGGTGACTGCCCAATTGGTATAAAGCACTACTGGCCCAAAGATCTTAAAGGCGAAAGGAGGGGAGATAGTATATTCCTAATATCAGCCCAAAATGTTTAAATGGGTGAATTTAAAATGACAACTTAGGGTAACAAGAAGGGACTTTCGGTGCAGATATGGATCAAACGAGCAACTAAAAGCCCATTACAGTAATAGGTCACGAGAAGAGAACTACCACAAAATCAATGAACTAGGGCTTGGTTTGGTTATCAATTGGGGATACTACTTTTAGTATTCCCAAAAAAGTTAAACAGTAAAATACTAAAAAACTCACAATATTATTCAATATTATTCAACTTTTTTAAACCCCCTAAATTTATTAATTTAATTAAATACCCCTAAATATTTTTTAAAAAATTACAGAAACACCCCAATAATCTACATTTACCAGATTTCGGCCACCACTGCCGGAAAATGGCCGGAATCTGGTAGGATGGCGCACTACCGGCTGAATCTAGCCTGTAGTGTGCCAATCTAGCCTTTTCCGGCCAGATCCACGGTAGATTGACTGTCAGATCTTTGGCCGTAACCAGTTGGTCGTCGTTGATAAGCAAATACGACCAGATCTGGCCATCAATGGCCAGATCTAGCCGTAGATCTGGCCTTTGCTGGCCAGATCCACCTTGGATCTGACCGGAAAATGCCATATCGGAGCAAGACCGGCAAGATCCAGCCGGTCATGCGCCGATACGGTGACTCCGGCCACCCTCCGATGGTGGTGGCCGGCTGTTCGTATTTGAGGGTGGGTTGGGGGTGTTTTTGTTAACTTTTAATGTTTTATTATAGGGGTGTTTTTGTAAATAAACAAACATATGGGGTATTTTATTAATTTGTAAATCCTACATCGTAATACCCGTCCAATTCAACTTTTTTTTAACTTTTTTCAAAAAACTTTTCCCAAAAACCTAAAATTGTGAACCAAACGAAGCCTAGAAACTTGATCTTCTCACAAAATAATAATGTTATATATACAAACGAAGTGTACAACCTTTGTTATATATACAAAGAGTAATACTACACATACATCATTTTCATACAACATTATGTAGCAAGATATGATTGGCTAATTTAAAGTTAAAATTAAACTTTCACTCAGTCACATCTTACCACATAATGTTGTATAAGAAATGTAGTATTGTTTTTTATTGTCATACCATTCATTCACATTTATTGAATTCATCACATAATTTGTATATAATTTATACACAAAGTTTATATATCTAATATTATTAGAATTAAAAAGAGATTCATATACAATATTTTAAATGGAACGGTAGAAATTAAAGGATATTGAGTTTGCTACACTCCATAATTTCAGGTCTAAACATGATGAAGATCACATAATGTATATGATAAAGTTAGTGCCACTGAACAGGGTCAAAGTCTCACATTAAATACTGCACAATCACTACCAATATCCACTTCCACCTAAAACTCGAATTCCAATTATCATGTGAGCTCTCATTTTCCTCTCATAATCACTGCCAATATCCACTTCAACCTTTCCTCTGTGACGTAGTCATTATCAATTTCAATTTCACCATGGAAAAATTCACTATATTTTTAATACCCATTGACGTAATTCTTGCATAACTTGCAAAAAAGTCACTAAATATTGACATAAATGAACCTAAATCATAACTCAAACGGAGCTTCATTTATGTTTCATATACAATACAACAAAACATATGGTTAAAAAAAAAAAATTTACAAAGGAGAAGTAAGATATGTGTTGGTTCAATTATACATTTTTATTTACAACTACAATTTCAACTATATTTATGTCTATTTAATTGGGCAAACAAATGCTCCTTATTTTCAAAACTCAAGTAATCATGCATCACATAATGGAATGAAAATGTAGCTAGTATTTTAAATCGGATGAATAATACAAATTCCAAGGGAAAAATAACTAAGGTTGATTACGATATAATCAACAATAATACTTTAAAGACATTTTTATTAGTTGTTACTAATAGATTTTCTTGCTAATAATGCATATAAGACTGAAAGACAAAGTGTTCGAAAAAGAAAGACAAAGTGTTCGAAAAAGAGAACGGGTGAGAATTGAAGACTAGTGTTAGGAACCCCTAACTGTCAAACACAAATCCGCAATACTCAACAAGAAAGCTGAACAAGAAAAACACAATTCTGAATATACTCTGCACTTTTGTATTGATGAACTGGTATGAAGAACAAACTAATATCCAAACATTCTAAGAACAGAATTAAAATGAAAGCAGTAAGATAGCTCTAGCCATTCGAGACGCTAGGTACCTCCCCAGAAAATCCCTTTTCTAAAATATTCTCTCCTTTACAAATCGTAAACCCACCTATTTATACCCCAATTATAACCTACCCTATTGGTAACAAATTCCCAATAACAAACTTCCCACCACCCAAGCCTACAAACTAATTCCCCTTTTTATTATTTTTCTTATAAACTGTTGGTGCTGGTGCTCTATCAACTAGAAATAATCTTGAGATATATAATCACACACATAAAACGCGAAATTATATAAATGATAGGTACATTAATGTTAAGAAGTTCAGAATCAGAAGCTGGTTGTGTTTTGAAGAAAAGAGAATGAAGAACTCCAGTTTTGTTGAAGTTCAAATGTCTGTTAAAACTTAAAACAATCAACGGTCAGCTTGACACTTGACAGAGGATGTAACGAAGGCCGTTAAAGGTTCTAAAAATCACTAACGGAACTATAGTTCTGCTAAAGTCTGTTAGTGTTTATAAGTTGAATGACAGTTTTATCATACAAATAAATTTACAAACGAAGGAGCGATTGTTTTTGGATTCAAGTCTACAAGGTTTGTGTTTTTGCTTCGCTTGAATTACAGCTTGAAGAAGATAATCCAATGGTGCAGCTTTTGACGATTTGTGTTTGTTTGTGCGATTGTGATTACTAGTTAGACTGATCACATGGATTGCCAACCTGTGACAGTTTTTGTATGTAGTGTTGAAATATTTTATACTAATAAAATTGATTTAGATTTCCACGCGGCAAAGAATCTTTTGGGAAGTGGCGACAATCAAAAAATAATTGAAGTATGAGACAAAGAAATTAACTCAATTAGAAAAATTATTAATCATTCACATGGTCTCCCAAATAAAAAATTCTATATAATTTTGGATAAACATATTAGGAGATTTAGTTCGGTGATAAACAGTATTATTGAAAACTTATTGGGTTCGCATAAAGTTGTTAGCATTTTATAATTTGCTGGATTAAATATATTATAGAAATATGGGAGGTCAAAATGCGAGAAATTTTGATCAAACACTAAGAGATGAGAAATAATTAATAAGAAGTTCGCCTAAATTAGACTGTGGAAAGGTCAAGATGGTAGCTAATTAGCGGATCAGGCAATCACACTTCTATGATAGAACTTTTCGTATTGCTTCTTGAGTTGCTGCTGCTTCATTTTTTATGGCTTCTTCTTCTTCCACGGCTGTTGAAGTGAGGAAGCATGATGTTTTCCTCAGTTTCTGTGGTGAGGATACCCGGACCACTTTTACCAGCACTTTACATGGAGTTTTGGAGGAAGCAAGTATAAATGTTTTCATTGATGATGAACTTAACAGAGGAGAGGAGATTTCGTCATCTCTTATGAGTGCAATTAAAGAATCAATGATTTCAGTTATTATTTTCTCGAAAGGTTATGCATCTTCAAGATGGTGTCCTGAAGAACTTGTGAAGATCATGGAGTGCAAGAAAACACAAAAACAGGTGGTAATACCAGTTTTCTAACGCATAGATCCATCAGATGTAAGGAATCAAACTGGAGTTTTTGGAGATGGATTTGCCAAGCTTGTAAGAAGTTTTGATGAGGACAAGTTAGAGAAGCTACAAATGATAGAAGAACAATTTAAAGACAAGATTCAGACATGGAGGAATGCTTTGACAGACGCAGCCAACCTGTCTGGCAGGACATCAAATAAGAGATCGTAATTCTCTACCCTTTAATTTAGTACTCTTGCAGTTTTGGCTGAATTTAACTTTCCCATTATATGTAAGTAGTTTGAGAGAGATTCGGTATATATTTCACTGGATTGACGAAGAATTTTTTTTTTCTTTTTTTTTTTTCAATGCCTAATAAATGATACTCTTACATTAAAATTCACAAATTAATATTTTACATGTTTTACAGGTTTGTTAGAACTTGAATACTGAAATATTTTACCATATTAAAGTCATCTTTAGTATAACATGTTAAGTTGTGATCCCACATAAAAGGTCTCACTTTTGGCCTCTATTATACCATGTTACCTAAAAGCCTCTTATATAATGTTGACTATCATCCCTACGATGTCATGTTAAGTTGTCATCACCTTTCTAAGTTGTCATCTCAACTAAAGTTATTTCGTAATTCTTTGAAAGATGTTGTATAGCTGAGCTTCATTAAAATCAACTATTGTTGGATTTTTTATTTTTTATTTTTTAATTCTTAATGGTTTACTACATTTTTAACAATTTGTTTTTTCATTATTGTTAGGCCTGATTATAATCTTGCAAAGAAAGTTATCAAAGATATTTTGAAGATCTTAAATTTCATGTCCCCGAGTAGTAATGACAAGAAATTAGTTGGAGTAGAATTATTCATTCAAAAAATTGAATCTTTACTGAAATTTGGTGGGCGAAATGTTCACATTGTAGGAATTTGGGGAATGCGTGGTATAGGCAAGATAACTCTTGCAAAGAGTATGTTCGACAAAATAAGCAATCAGTTTGAAGGTTCATACTTTGCTAGAAATATTAGGGAAGAATCAACGGGTCCTTATGGACTAACTCGAATGCAGCAAGAACTTCTTTCTAGAATATTAAAGCATCCTATCGGCTTCACAAAAGGAAGGCTTGGTCGTAAACAAGTTCTCATTGTTTTGGATGATGTGACTACTTTAGAACAAGTAGAATCTTTAATTGAAATTGGTTGCTTGGGTCCAGGAAGTCGAATCATTATAACAGCAACAGATAAACAAGTGCTTAGAAATTGTGGAGTGGATGACATCAATATATACAGGATGAAGGGGCTACCTAAAAATGAAGCTCTTCAACTTTTTAGTTGGTATGCTTTTCGGCAAAATCGTCCCAACATAGATTATGATGACTTGTCAAATAGGGTAGTAAAATATACTAGAGGTGTTCCACTAGCTCTTAAAGTGTTAGGTTGTTGCTTACTTGGCAAGTCAAAACAAGTTTGGGAAAGTGCATTACAAGAATTTGAAATAATTCCTCATGTGGATATTCACAAGGTACTAAAAATAAGTTATGAGGACCTAAATGATAAGGGGCAGAATATATTTCTAGATATTGCATGTTTCCTTAAATGGGAGAATAAAGATTTTGTGGTAGACTTTTTGAATGCATAAGAAAACAGGACTGAATATGTACTAAGTGTTCTCACTGATAAGTGTCTCATAACTATATCAGAGGATAACAAGATAACAATGCATGATTTGCTTTAAGAAATGGGTTGGGAAATTGTTCGACAAGAATCTACAAGAGATCCTAGTAAACATAGCCGTTTATGGTACCATAAAGATATCTATGAAGTATTAGAAGAAAATATGGTAAGTGTCAAACACATTGTATATATTCTGTTTTAATATTTTATAAATTAATTTTGAGAATTATTTTTCCACTTTTCCTATTTGAATTAGCTTGGATCAGTTTTGGCTTGTGTTTGATCATTTTAGAAGAAACTCGAAAAAAATATATATTATTTATGCTAATAAACACTTAAATAGTTTATAGCTAATTATCATCTTTCTTTGGTATCAGGTTCCTAATAAAATTGAAGGCATATGTTTAGACATGTCTAAACAAGAAGAGACCATATGCTTAGAACCTTGTGCTTTAGCAACGATGCATCAACTTAGATTCTTTAAACTACATAATGCGCACTATGAAGAGAATAATATCAATAAGGTGCATATTTCCCAAGAGCTTCGTTATGTTTCGACTAAGCTACGGTACTTATGTTGGCATGGATGTCCATTGAAATCATTGCAGCCAATTTTTTGTTGAAATACCTTGTTGCGCTTGACATGCCGCCCAGCAATATTGAACAACTTTGGTCTAGTACCCAGGTAATGTAGTGATATTAATATTCCGATATTTCTTTCTTAAGTTCTCAATATCAAAGATACTAATATGTGTTACTGACTATTTCTTTCCTATTTACAGCTTCATAATTTGAAACATATTGACCTCAGTTTCTCTAAACATCTAAGGATTCAAGATCTCTCATTGGCCCCAAATCTTGAAAATTTGATTTTGGAAGGTTGTACAAGTTTGTGTGAGATTGCCTCATCCATTTATGGTCTCAATTATAAGCTTCTTATCTTAAATCTAAGGCAATGTAAAAGCCTTGGTAGTCTTCCATCAGGCATTCATCTAGAATCTCTCAAAAGAGTTATCTTTTCTGGGTGCTCAAATCTTAAGAAGTTTCCACAGAACTCTTGGAATATGAAAGAGCTATATTTAGATGAAACTGCAATAGAGGAGTTGCTGTCGTCAATAGAGAATTTATCCAGACTAGTTATATTAAATCTTAAAGACTGCTCAATGCTTGAGAGTGTTCCAAGCAATATCTGCGAGTTAAAATCTCTTGAACATCTCAATCTCTCAGGGTGTTCAAAACTTCATGGATTGCCTGATAATTTGGGAAATTTAGAAGCTTTGAGGGTGCTTAAAGCAGAGGGGGTCCCTACCCGAGAAGTACCAACATCCATTTTAAATTTGCGCTGTGTAGAAGAACTAGATCTGACAAGCTGTGGTATTGAGGAGTTACCGAAAAATCTTGGTCAGTTATCCTCACTAAAAAGTTTACTTCTTGGCAGAAACTTCTTTAAGAGCATTCCGACAAGCATTGTAAAACTGCCCAAGTTATCTTATCTTGACCTAAGCTATTGCGAGAGGCTTCAAATCCTACCAGAGCTACCAAGTAAATTAGAAAATATAGACGCAAGCAATTGCACAGCATTGGAAGCATCATCAAATTTTTTAACTTTCTTCTTCAGAGATATTACTCAAAGCATAAAAATCAACTTTAGCAATTGTTTCAAACTGGATCAAATCGCCTTCAGTAAAACTATTAATGATTTTGGATCGTTACTAAATATTTCTGGTTTTGCAATGGTATGTATTGTTGAGAAAGGCTAAAAGGTCTCCTCGCTCCTTCTTTTTTCATATGATTTTCATTACTTCAGTCAGAAAAACAAAATTGTTAATGATATATGTTAACGTTTACCCATGTTATAAGTGATTGATTTCATTTTTTTACTTTTTGTACAGAGACTTTTTTTTTCCAGAAAAGGCTAGTGCTTGTATCTGTTTCCCTGGATGGGAAATCCCAGAGTGGTTCATCTTTCAAAGAAGAGGATCTCTTATAACTCTGGAGAAACAAGCAAATCTTCGCTCTAGTGACTTGAATTCTCTTGTCATCTGTTTTGTTGTGGAGTTTCGAAACTATCATAATGAACGCGAGGGTTTGGTGGTTGGCTTTGAATGCATGCTAACAAGGGACAATGGTATAATAGATGTGTTCCATGGAACTTTGAGGGGATGGGACTATGGTAATGGACCTGACAATGTGGACTCAGATCACGTATTCCTGGGATATGATCATGTTTGGAAGTTCTCTAGGTCGGACAGTATTGAAAATCACAAATATTGTGAGATGACCATCCGATTTTATGTTGAGAATTTAAATATGGAAGGATTAGGTTGTTGCAACGTGAAAAAGTGTGGACTTTGGGGTCCATCCTTAGAGTTAACGACAAGGTAAGAGAAGCCAGAGTCCATGAAAGTGAAAGTTGAACATTTCTACGGTGGCGAATCCAGCTCAGGGTAAATAAGTTGCTATCTTTCTTCCTTCCTTTCATTTTTTTTTTTTTTTTTCCCTTTTTGTCCTTTCTATAACGTCTTATCTTCTTAACGACAAGGGGAGAGAAACCAGAGTCCAAGAAATTGAAAATTGAACATTTCTACGGTGGCGAATCCAGCTCAAGGAAAATAAGTTCCTACCTTTCTTCCTTTTATTTTTATTTTTATTTTTTTTAGTTTTCTATAATGTCTTATCTTCTTGAGATTTCCTTTTGCTTGGATTCTTGGGTTAAATGTCTTGGGTTGAATGGTTATGCCACAACTTTTTTTTTTTTCTTTTTTTTCCATCGATATCATTTGTTTTTACTTCTTATGATGACCTCACTTATCGTCTCGTCCAAACAAGTTCTTTGTCATAGTGATATAACATTGATTCAATGTAAATTAGAATCTTGATGACGATCTGACTGTACCCTCTTACTCTGAGGCTCTGGCCCTCTCCTTAACCATTCACGCAACAAGAAATCCCATGAAAGATTATGGCTATGGAAACGACTGAAATTGGTTTTATGAATCGGGATTCATTCTTTTTTTTCTTATTAAGTTCATATTAATGTTTAAATTGTTTATTGAGTTGGTTCTGACAACGTCCAAATGTAAATCTTTCTGTACTCTCTTTCCCAAATATAATCTTTATTTCCTCTGTTCTGGAGATTCATCAATGGCTTTTTGCTATGCTTCCAAGTGAAAGTTAATATTTTATATATATGTAATTCTATATAAGCAAATAATAATTTCAAATTTATCAGAATAAAATTTGAACATGAAGACTATTACTGTCCCCTCTTTGACAAGTTGTGGGCCCTTTTTTTTTTTTTTTTTTTAACTGAAAATAAAGATCTTTTAACTTTGTTATTAGTTTTTTCCCAGATTCACATAATCTATTTGACATGGAAATGTTTATTTGAATTTGTCTGGATAGTGATGATATATTGAATTTTCTTTATCTAATTTAAAGTTTCGGAATTTTGATGTAGGCAAAACACTTGAAACCTTCAATGAGAAGTTTCTGCAGATTCATGAGCTTTCGGAGATCTCCTAGTTTAACTTGCTTAATTGCTTCTGGTGATATGAGTACTAAAACTTGCAATATTGGTCCAAAGATAACAGGGAAAAAACCATTCAACTGTTGTCAGACTATTCATTTGACTTGATTCATTTAATTGAGAAACACAAATGAAGTTCATATCAGCCTTTGAGATTGGCGAGTGATCAGGCTGAAGTAATTACTGTTAATGACTTCTTTGATTGTAACGTTCTTTCTCATGAGCCACGTAGGTTTCATTCCTCATGGCTTCCTTAGTTAAATCCTCAGGTTACGCTTTGTCAAGAGAACTAACCATTTAAGTACCATAACTGTAGAAAAAGAGGCTTAAATTGTGTTTGAATAGTGCAAAGTTTGTGTTCACACATCACTTTGTCACATGGCAATTAATATATTTTTTTTTAAAAAAAAAAATGTATTTCCAGATTTGCATTATCAAGATCAAGAGCATACATTTAGCGTCAGCCACGCGACTTGGGCAGAAATCAAAACAAAAAACTACATTGCCAAAACTAATCTAACACTATTTTCCTTCTTGTCGTGAAAGCTATGAAATTATCAGAACCAGAGAGCGGTGCAAATGGATGGCCTTTCTTGTATCTTCGGAACTGCACCATAACTTTTTGGTTGACAGCATCCACCACTCCAATATACCTCAGAAACTGAGAATACACATTCGAAGCAGAGACAAGAGCTTACACGCTATGCAAAAACAAAAGCGAAACTTATTCGTGTAAACTGGCTCCAGAAAAAGGAGGGACCACCCTATAATTTGTGACCATATATTAAGACCTACTTCCAGAAGAACTAAAATTTTTTCTCAAACTCTTCAGAATTCTTCTGTCTAGGAAGTCATAATATGTTGTATCAAACGTATTGTATTCTCTAAGATTGTAGGGCCATTTGTTCTCCACAGGATTAAAAATATGCACCCATCTTACTTCTTAAACTTTTTAGGGACTGATTAGAATTTAAACCATAAATCAGACTCAATTTTAGGGTATTGTAATTAGGAAATCTGAGTCTAGCTCTACTGAAAGGTCAAACTTCGAAGACTTTTAAACAAAACTCACTTCTCCTGCATCCTCAGCTTCTTGTGTTTCCTTAGCCAGTTCTTGGTCAAATTGCCGCATTTGCTTCATGAACTCTTTGGAAGATGCGCAAGCCTGCGGCAAAAAATTAAAACATCACATTGAAGATGAACTTCTTCCTTAATCCAATATAGAATTGAGAAAAATGTCTTACCCTTAAAGGTTCAGGAACAATGAATAGGGAGATCAGAAAGTTCCAGCTTCAGACCAGATTCTGTAGCAAGAATTATCACCTGCAGAAAGAAATTCATTTTATAAGTCTGTTTTCATCTAGATGCATTCAGCATGGAGGCATGGAATAAATATATATAGAAGCAGTATAATATAGTCAAAGTCCGGCCTATTCCAAATAGATAGCATGCCTTTACAATCGTCCCATATTTGATTAGCAATGACATAACTAACAAAGAGACCAGAGGCAATAAATATCATTAACAATTTGATTCAACCATAGCATCTGGTTGGACCAGAGTGGTAGTATGTAATACATAAAGAATCATTTTTAAAATGATAAATCAAAGAAATTTCACAAAAAAGGTGAGGTAGCTAACTCATCAGTCATCAAATAAAGTTTGCTATAGATCCCTTAACAATAAGGCTGTTATAGAATGGCGACAATATCTCTTAACTGTCTTTTGGCATTTGGGAATTGCCCATAGTGGTGGCAAACAGAAAAAGAAAACCACCCTTATGAACTTTAATGCACATTTAAATAACATAACTAAGAAATAATGCGCATAATACCTTTCTGGCAACATCCGTTCCAGATAGATCATCCCACAGCAACAGTAAATCCACAGGGTTAAGGCTTGTGTTAGCAGATGTATAACTTATGTAATGCACATGCATTTTAGATGCTCAACCAACTTTGTGTTTTGTAAGCATGACTGTTCCTAGCTAACTGAGGAAGTAAATATGCCTAACCTGAAAATGCCTTCAATGCGCAATATCTTATCCTTGGTTTCAAACAGTCCCCTTAAAGTGCTAATGATTGGGACACCAGCGCCAACAGTTGCTTCATAAAAGTAATGTGTGTAGGATTTCAGTTGAAGGGCCCTCAGCTTTAAATACTGGATTGACATGGAAATTACATCAATAAAAAGCCACCAAAAGGATCGACAATACAACAAGATTCAAGCAAAGACAAATAATCTTAAGAAAGAGTTGATTAAGCAGTCCTAATTATCATCTTCTAAGTTAACAGAAAGGTGGACCAAGACACTAACTCGTCCAGAATTAGGACTTCATAATTTCTACATTATTGTTATCATTATAAGATCCGAATGACTTAGCCAAAGTTAACATTACTTGATCAAGAGGCCCAGAATTTGCTTTTTTGTTTGGTGTGATCATGAATCCCTTTACACAACCAATCATGGTAACAACTGGCAACATGTGAGTCTGCTGTACAATCTACCAAAGCTGTATTTGGGAAGAAATGATTCCCATGCACATGTTGAGTAAATTTGTTGAGGTCAGCTACTTCTCCTTTCTACTTTAATAGCTCTCTCCATTTCAACAAGTCAATGCCCCTATAATGAAAGATCAATGAGTCCACAGGCTGCAGAGTAATATGCTTATAATGAATAAAACAAGCAGTTTGATTAATCAACCCATCCCACCATACAAACCCAAATTGAGCTCTCAACAACCAACCAAGTAAAAAAAGTTTGTATTGTTATGAACGGTGATTAATTCACAGCAGGAAGAGCAAAGTCACTAGATTGTTTCTCAAACATGATACCATACCCCTAGGATTATCCATATAAATCTTAAAACTTACCAGTCACTCAAGAGCATATTCCTCGAGCCAGTAATTCCCAGAACACGCAAGTCAATGTTAAATTCTTTCTTAAGAACTGCTGTCTGCCAAAAGAAAAAGTTCAAAACTTATTGAGGTGCCATGTATGAAAGAACATATAGCTTAATAACTTAACTTGGGGGACGACAGACCATTCCAACAGCTATTTTTAAATTTCTCCTTTTGTTAAGCATTTTACACTCTTATATCTTTATATGTATATTTCTCAGATTATTTTAGTTTGAAACTAATTGGCAATTGCAGGTTTTTTGAATTTGGATCAGACTGAAATTAATTCCACAATATTTTAATTTTGAATTTAATGCAAGAGGATGTGGTATGCACCTAGGAGTGTTATCGAGCCGAGCCGAGCCGAGTTTTCGGCTTAACGAGCTCGGCTCGTGAGAGAAGAGAATTAAACAAGCCGAGACCGAGCCGAGCCGAGCCAGAAATTTTGTGGCTCGGCTCGGCTCGGTATTAGATTTTTCATATTTCGAGTCGGCTCGGCTCGGTATTAGATTTTTCATATTTCGAGCCGGCTCGCGAGCCATGTCC